TCGGAATCGCGAGCTCACGACTTCAATTTCCGCTAGGGAGCGAGAGGAGCTTCTGGTGGTGGTGGTGGTGAGGAGATTCTGGTGAGGAGGGTGGTGGTGAGGGTGGTGGTGGTGGTGAGGAGCGTCTGGTGAGGAGGGTGGTGGTGAGGAGATTCTGGTGAGGAGGGTGGTGGTGAGGGTGGTGGTGGTGGTGAGGAGCGTCTGGTGAGGAGGGTGGTGGTGAGGAGATTCTGGTGAGGAGGGTGGTGGTGAGGGTGGTGGTGGTGGTGAGGAGATTCTGGTGAGGAGGGTGGTGGTGAGGAGATTCTGGTGAGGAGGGTGGTGGTGAGGAGATTCTGGTGGTGGTGAGGAGCGTCTGGTGAGGAGGGTGGTGAGGAGATTCTGGTGAGGAGGGTGGTGGTGAGGAGATTCTGGTGGTGGTGAGGAGCGTCTGGTGAGGAGGGTGGTGAGGAGATTCTGGTGAGGGTGGTGGTGGTGAGGAGATTCTGGTGAGGAGGGTGGTGGTGAGGAGATTCTGGTGGTGGTGAGGAGCGTCTGGTGAGGAGGGTGGTGAGGAGATTCTGGTGAGGAGGGTGGTGGTGAGGAGATTCTGGTGGTGGTGAGGAGCGTCTGGTGAGGAGGGTGGTGAGGAGATTCTGGTGAGGGTGGTGGTGGTGAGGAGATTCTGGTGAGGAGGGTGGTGGTGAGGAGATTCTGGTGGTGGTGAGGAGCGTCTGGTGAGGAGGGTGGTGAGGAGATTCTGGTGGTGGTGAGGAGATTCTGGTGGTGGTGAGGAGCGTCTGGTGAGGAGGGTGGTGAGGAGATTCTGGTGGTGGTGAGGAGATTCTGGTGGTGGTGAGGAGCGTCTGGTGAGGAGGGTGGTGGTGAGGAGATTCTGGTGAGGAGGGTGGTGGTGAGGGTGGTGGTGGTGGTGAGGAGATTCTGGTGAGGAGGGTGGTGGTGAGGGTGGTGAGGAGCGTCTGGTGGTGAGGAGATTCTGGTGGTGGTGGTGAGGAGCTTCTGGTGGTGGTGGTGGTGAGGAGATTCTGGTGAGGAGGGTGGTGGTGAGGGTGGTGGTGGTGGTGAGGAGATTCTGGTGAGGAGGGTGGTGGTGAGGAGATTCTGGTGGTGGTGAGGAGCGTCTGGTGAGGAGGGTGGTGAGGAGATTCTGGTGAGGAGGGTGGTGGTGAGGATGGTGAGGGTAGTGGTGAGGGTGGTGGTGGTGAGGAGCGTCTGGTGGTGGTGGTGAAGAGCTTCTGGTGGTGAGGAGATTCTGGTGGTGAGGAGATTCTGGTGAGGAGGGTCGTGGTGAGGAGCGTCTGGTGGTGGTGGTGAGGAGATTCTGGTGAGGGTGAGGGTAGTGGTGAGGGTGGTGGTGGTGGTGAGGAGCGTCTGGTGGTGGTGGTGAGGAGATTCTGGTGGTGAGGAGATTCTGGTGAGGAGGAGATTCTGGTGAGGAGGGTGGTGGTGAGGAGGATGAAGGGTAGTGGTGAGGGTGGTGGTGGTGGTGAGGAGCGTCTGGTGGTGGTGAGGAGATTCTGGTGGTGGTGAGGAGCGTCTGGTGAGGAGGGTGATGAGGAGCGTCTGGTGGTGGTGGTGAGGAGATTCTGGTGAGGAGGGTGGTGAGGAGATTCTGGTGAGGAGGAGATTCTGGTGAGGAGGGTGGTGGTGAGGAGATTCTGGTGGTGGTGGTGAGGAGATTCTGGTGGTGGTGGTGAGGAGATTCTGGTGGTGGTGGTGGTGAGGAGCGTCTGGTGAGGAAATTCTGGTGGTGGTGAGGAGATTTTGGTGGTGAGGAGATTCTGGTGAGGAGATTCTGGTGAGGAGGGTAGTGAGGAGATTCTGGTGAGGAGGAGCTTCTGGTTGTGGTGAGGAGCGTCTGGTGAGGAGGGTGAGGAGCTTCTGGTGAGGGTGGCGGTGGTGGTGGTGGTGGTGAGGGTGGTGGTGGTGGTGAGGGTGGTGGTGGTGGTGAGGGTGGTGGTGGTGGTGGTGAGGGTGGTGGTGGTGAGGGTGGAGGTGAGGGTGGTGGTGAGGGTGGTGATGGTGGTGAGGAGCCGCTGGTCGACTGGGAGGGGTGGGGGAGACAAAGGCGGACGCGGTGTTGCCCATCCACTCACTCACCCACCCACTCACTCACCCACCCACTCACCCACTCACCCACCCAATCACCCACCCACTCACCTATCCACGCACTCACCCACTCACCCACTCACCCACGCACCCACTCACCCACGCACCCACTCACCCACGCACCCACTCACCCACGCACTCATCCACCCACCCAATCACCCACCCACTCACCCACCCACTCACTCACCCACTCACTCACCCACTCACTCACCCACTCACCCACGCACTCACTCACTCACCCACGCACTCACTCACCCACGCACTCACTCACCCACGCACTCACCCACGCACTCCCCCACCCACCCACTCACCCACTCACTCACCCACTCACTCACCCACTCACTCACCCACGCACTCACTCACCTATTCACTCACCCATTCACCCATCCATTCACCCATCCACTCACCCATCCACTCACCCATCCACTCACCCACTCACTCACCCACTCACTCACTCACCCACCCACCCACTCACTCACCCACCCACCCACTCACCCACCCACCCATCCATTCACCCATCCACTCACCCATCCACTCACCCACCCACTCACTCACCCACCCACTCACCCACCCACCCACTCACCCACTCACCCAACCACCCACCCACCCACCCACTCACCCACCCACCCACTCACCCACCCACTCACCCACCCACCCACTCACCCACCCACCCACTCACCCATCCACTCACCCACCCACTCACCCACCCACCCACTCACCCACCACCCCACCCACCCACTCACCCACCACCCCACCCACCCACTCAACCACCACCCACCCACCCACTCAACCACCACCCACCCACTCACTCAACCACCACCCACCCACTCACCCACCACCCACTCACCCACCCATCCACCCATCCACTAACCCACCCACCCAATCACCCACCCAATCACCCACCCACCCAATCACCCACCCACCCACCCAATCACCCACCCACCCAATCACCCACCCACCCACCCAATCACCCACCCACCCAACCACCCACCCACCCACCCAATCACCCACCCAATCACCCACCCACCCAATCACCCACCCAATCACCCACCCACCCACCCAATCACCCACCCACTCACCCACCCACCCAATCACCCACCCACTCACCCACACACCCAATCACCCACCCACCCAATCACCCACCCACCCAATCACCCACCCACCCAATCAGCCACCCACCCACTCACTCACCCACCCATCACCCACCCACTCACCCACTCACCCACCCACTCACCCACTCACCCACCCACCCACCAACTCACCCACCCCCTCCCCCACCCACCCACCCACCCACTCCCCCACCCACCCACCCACTCCCCCACCCACCCACCCACTCACCCACCCACCCACCCACCCACCCACTCACCCACTCACCCACCCACCCACCCACTCACTCACCCACCCACCCACCCACTCACCCACTCACTCACCCACCCACTCACCCACCCATTCACCCACTCACCCACCCACTCACTCACCCACCCACTCACCCACCACCCCACCCACCCACTCACCCACCCACCCAATCACCCACCCACCCAATCACCCACCCACCCAATCACCCACCCACCCAATCACCCACCCACTCACCCACCCACTCCCCCCACCCACCCAATCACCCACCCAATCACCCACCCACTCACCCACCCACTCCCCCCACCCACCCAATCACCCACCCAATCACCCACCCAATCACCCACCCACTCCCCCCACCCACCCACCCACTCACCCACCCACCCAATCACCCACCCACTCACCCACCCACTCCCCCCACCCACCCAATCACCCACCCAATCACCCACCCACTCCCCCCACCCACTCCCCCCACCCACTCACCCACCCAATCACCCACCCAATCACCCACTCACCCACCCACTCACCCACCCACCCAATCAACCACCCACCCACTCACTCACTCACCCACCCACCCAATCACCCACCCACTCACCCATCACCCACCCACTCACCCACTCATCCACCCACTCACTCACTCACCCACCCACCCAATCACCCACTCACTCACCCACCCACCCAATCAACCACCCACCCACTCAGTCACTCACTCACCCACCCACCCACTCACTCACCCACCCACCCACCCAATCACCCACTCACTCAATCACCCATCCACTCACTCACTCACCCACCCACCCAATCACCCACTCACTCACCCACCCACCCTCCCAATCACCCACTCACTCACCCACCCACCCACCCAATCACCCACCCACCCACTCACCCACCCACTCACTCACCCACCCACTCACTCACTCACTCACCCACCCACCCAATCACCCACTCACTCACTCACCCACCCACTCACCCACCCACCCACTCACCCACTCCCCCCCCACCCCCGTGCCCACAGTGTTCCCCCCCCTCCCCCCACAGAGTCTTGTTGTTGAGGCTATACGGGGGGGGTGAGGGTGGGGTGAGGAGCGACTGGTGAGGAGCTGCTGCTGGTGGTGAGGAGGAGGAGGAGGAGTGGCCGGCCATGCCTCTCGCTCAGCTCGCCGACCCCTGGGTCAAGATGGATATCAAGCGGCAAGGAGAGGTGAGGGGGGTGAGGTGGTGAGGGTGGTGAGGGTACAGGGGGGTGAGGGGGGTGAGGGTGAGGTGGTGAGGGGGGTGAGGGGGGTGAGGGTACAGGAGGGTGAGGGGGGTGAGGGTGAGGTGCCATATATATACAACTATAGTTACATTACTATCAGACACAATGCCATATATATACAACTATAGTTACATTACTATCAGACACAATGCCATATATATAGTACTATAGTTACATTACTATCAGACACAATGCCATATATATAATACTATAGTTACATTACTATCAGACACAATGCCATATATATAATACTATAGTTACTTTACTATCAGACACAATGCCATATATATACAACTATAGTTACATTACTATCAGACACAATGCCATATATATACAACTATAGTTACATTACTATCAGACACAATGCCATATATATACAACTATAGTTACATTACTATCAGACACAATGCCATATATATAGTACTATAGTTACATTACTATCAGACACAATGCCATATATATAGTACTATAGTTACATTACTATAAGACACAATGCCATATATAACACTATAGTTGCATTACTATCAGACACAATGCCATATATAACACTATAGTTACATTACTATCAGACACAATGCCATATATATAATACTATAGTTACATTACTATCAGACACAATGCCATATATATAACACTATAGTTACATTACTATCAGACACAATGCCATATATATAGTAATATAGTTACATTACTATCAGACACAATGCCATATATAACACTATAGTTACATTACTATCAGACACAATGCCATATATATAGTACTATAGTTACATTACTATCAGACACAATGCCATATATATAGTACTATAGTTACATTACTATCAGACACAATGCCATATATATAATACTATAGTTACATTACTATCAGACAATGCCACATATATATAATACAATAGTTACATTACTATCAGACACAATGCCATATATATAACTCTAATTACATTACTATCAGACACAATGCCATATATATAACACTATAGTTACATTACTATCAGACACAATGCCATATATATAGTAATATAGTTACATTACTATCAGACACAATGCCATATATAACACTATAGTTACATTACTATCAGACACAATGCCATATATATAGTACTATAGTTACATTACTATCAGACACAATGCCATATATATAGTACTATAGTTACATTACTATCAGACACAATGCCATATATATAATACTATAGTTACATTACTATCAGACAATGCCATATATATAATACAATAGTTACATTACTATCAGACACAATGCCATATATATAACTCTAATTACATTACTATCAGACACAATGCCATATATATAACACTATAGTTACATTACTATCAGACACAATGCCATATATATAATACTATAGTTACATTACTATCAGACACAATGCCATATATATAATACTATAGTTACATTACTATAAGACACAATGCCATATATATAATACTATAGTTACATTACTATCAGACACAATGCCATATATATAACACTATAGTTATATTACTATCAGACACAATGCCATATATAACACTATAGTTACATTACTATCAGACACAATGCCATATATATAATACTATAGTTACATTACTATCAGACACAATGCCATATATATAATACTATAGTTACATTACTATCAGACACAATGCCATATATATAATACTATGGTTACATTACTATCAGACACAATGCCATATATATAATACTATGGTTACATTACTATCAGACACAATGCCATATATATAATACTACAGTTACTTTACTATCAGACACAATGCCATATATATAGTACTATAGTTACATTACTATCAGACACAATGCCATATATAACACTATAGTTACATTACTATCAGACACAATGCCACATATATAATACTATAGTTACATTACTATCAGACACAATGCCATATATACCACACTGATTACATTATCAAACACAATGCATCACGTATCATCAGAGTGTGTTGCATGTTCACCACCAGGAGCTTGTGTGGTTAATTGCAGGAACGTGTTAATTTGCAAAAGCCATAATCTACGTTGGTGTTTGAACTTCTTGACACAACTGCTGCTGTTTTATTGTTGGAAGCGAGGGGTGAAGCACAGATTATTATTTTACTCTGATACGGTCAAGGGACGTGCTATCATGTTAGTCTGTCCAGGTACCTCGGGGGTCTTTGTCTGTGTGTGAGTGTCTGTGTGTGAGCGTGTCTGTGTGTGAGTGTGTGTCTGTGTGAGTGTCTCTGTCTGTGAGTGTGTCTGTGTGTGTCTGTGTGAGTGTGTGTGAGTGTCTGTCTGTGAGTGTGTCTGTGTGAGTGTCTGTGAGTGTGTGTGAGTGTGTCTGTGAGTGTGTGTGTGAGTGTCTCTGTGTGTGTGAGTGTCTGTGTGTGAGTGTCTGTGTGTGTGTCTGTGTGTCTGTGTCTGTGAGTGTCTGTGAGTGTGTGTGTGGGTGTCTGTGTGTGTGTGATTGTGTGAGTGTCTGTGTGAGTGTCTGTGAGAGTGTCTGTGTGTGTCTGTGTGTCTGTGTGTGTCTGTGTGTGTGTCTGTGTGTGTGCTTTGGCAGTGTGGGGAGCGGTGGGTGTAGTGGTTAGCGCTATGTCTGTGTGTGTCTGTGTGTGTGTCTGTGTGTGTGTCTGTGTGTGTGTCTGTGTGTGTCTGTGTGTGTCTGTGTGTATGCCTTGGTAGTGTGGGGAGCGGTGGGTGTAGTGGTTAGCGCTGTGTCTGTGTGTGTCTGTGAGTGTGTGTCTGTGTGTGTCTGTGTGTGTCTGTGAGTGTGTGTGTCTGTGTGTGTCTGTGAGTGTGTCTGTGTGTCTGTGTGTGTCTGTGAGTGTGTGTGAGTGTCTATGAGTGTCTGTGTGTGTGTCTGTGTGTGTGTCTGTGTGTATGCCTTGGTAGTGTGGGGAGCGGTGGGTGTAGTGGTTAGCGCTGTGTCTGTGAGTGTCTGTGAGTGTGTGTCTGTGAGTGTCTGTGAGTGTGTGTCTGTGTGTGTCTGTGTGAGTGTCTGTGTGAGTGTCTGTGTGAGTGTCTGTGAGTGTGTCTGTGAGTGTCTGTCTGTGTGTGTGTGTCTGTGTGTGAGTGTCTGTGTGTGAGTGTCTATGTGTGTGAGTGTCTGTGTGTGTGAGTGTCTGTGTGAGTGTGTGTGTCTGTGTGTGAGTGTCTGTGTGTGAGTGTCTGTGTGTGAGTGTCTGTCTGTGTGTGAGTGTCTGTGTAAATGTCTGTCTGTGAGTGTGTGTGTGAGTGTCTGTGTGTGAGTGTCTGTGAGTGTCTGTCTGTGTGTGTGTGTCTGTGTGTGAGTGTCTGTCTGTGTGTGAGTGTCTGTGTAAATGTCTGTCTGTGAGTGTGTGTGAGTGTCTGTGTGTGAGTGTCTGTGTGTATGCCTTGGTAGTGTGGGGAGCGGTGGGTGTAGTGGTTAGCGCTACGCTGCGCTATGAACCTGGCCACCCAAGTTTGATTCCCACTCACGGCCACCAACATCACCACGTGGCGATTATCTGAACCGGTCCTGGGCCTCCCGTAGGTATGCTCAGCCTCAAATTAGTTGCCTAGTGGTGTAACAGTAGTGGTTTAGTAGTAGTGGTGTAGTAGTAGTGGTGTAGTAGTAGTGTAGTGGTGTAGTAGTAGTGGTGTAGTAGTGTAGTGGTAGTGGTGTAGTAGTAGTGGTGTAGCAGTGTAGTGGTGTAGTGGTGAAATAGTAGTGGTGTAGTAGTGTAGCAGTGTAGTAGTAGTGGTGTTGTAGTGGTGTAGTGGTGTAGCAGTGTAGTGGTGTAGTGGTGTAGTAGTAGTAGTGTAGCAGTGTAGTAGTGTAGTAGTAGTAGTGGTGTAGTGGTAGTGGTGTAGTAGTAGTGGTGTAACAGTGTAGCAGTGTAGTGGTGTGGTGGTGAAGTAGTAGTGTAGCAGTGTAGTAGTAGTGGTGTAGTAGTGGTGTAGTGGTGTAGCGGTGTAGTGGTGTAGTGGTGTAGCGGTGTAGTGGTGTAGTGGTGTACCAGTGTAGTGGTGTAGTAGTTGTGTAGTAGTAGTGGTGTAGTGGTGTAGTAGTAGTGGTGTAGTGGTGTAGTAAACATCGCTAGCACTGGGGGAGACAAAGGCGGCCGGGCGTGGTGCTGCTGACCACCCCCTCGTGTGCCACAGTGCCGGTACCTTTCATCGGTGCTGCTACTCGCTACTAACAGCACTTGCCCCAATGGTCTGTTAAGGCTACACGAGGGATCTTTGTCTTTGTACATCACACCACGTGCCAAATCCGGTCGAGGGGGGCTGGTCGGGTGGTGGAGGGCCGAGAGACACAAAACTGCCCAGATCGCGATGTGCCTGGCCTGAAGCCTCTCGCGATACCACGACTCTTACAAACCCATCTGTACGTCTCTACCACGGTGGCTAGGAGATGTTGACTACCTCGCCTGGTGTACAGGAGGTTGTGGGTTCCACCACCATCATCATCACGGTGGCTAGGAGATGTTGACTACCTCGCCTGGTGTACAGGAGGTCGTGGGTTCCACCATCATCATCATCACGGTGGCTAGGAGATGTTGACTACCTCGCCTGGTGTACAGGAGGTCGTGGGTTCCACCACCATCATCACGGTGGCTAAGAGATGTTGACTACCTCGCCTGGTCTACAGGCGGTCGTGGGTTCCACCACCACCATCACATTGGCTAGGAGATGTTGACTACCTCGCCTGGTGTACAGGAGGTCGTGGGTTCCACCACCACCATCATCATCACGGTGGCTAGGAGATGTTGACTACCTCGCCTGGTGTACAGGAGGTCGTGGGTTCCACCACCACCATCATCATCATCACGGTGGCTAGGAGATGTTGACTACCTCGCCTGGTGTACAGGAGGTCGTGGGTTCCACCACCACCACCATCATCATCACGGTGGCTAGGAGATGTTGACTACCTCGCCTGGTGTACAGGAGGTCGTGGGTTCCACCACCACCACCATCATCATCACGG